GCTGGTCATATCTCGAAAAATTCGTAAGTAGGGGCGTTCGTAAGTAGAGGTACCACTGTACTACATTCTCAATTTTTTTTTCCTGGAGACCTAGTTATTTTACTTGCATGTAACTGCTTATAAGGTACTGAATAATCTAAATCTAAACCACATTCAGACCATTACCAACAGAAGGAATTTTGACCTTCATCCAAGCCTAACATCTGAGAATATCAGTCTTGGGTAGATGCTGGGCCCCTCAAACTCAAAAGGGTCAGTATCCATTGAATGACAGTGTGGTGTGTCTTTAAATGAAAGCAAAGGATACCTTCCATTTGTCTAATAACAGCATGTTATTGCTAACCTTAGCAACAACATGCTGGCTGGGGAATTCTGGGAGTTGAAGTCCACACAGCTTAAAGTTGCCAAGGTTGAGAAATGCTGGTAAAGAAGACCATTAGCCAGGAACAAACCCAACCAATTCAATGTATACCTCCCTTCCCTCCCACTACCAGAATACTGTTATGGAGAAGAGCCAAGGACTGAGATGGTTCAGTAATGGCGGTGAGGAGGGAAGTCAGGAGCTGCAGCACACGTTAAGAGATGCAGGCAATGGAGACATGAGACCTTTTCAGCTAGGGATCCCTGAAATCTGGAGATGGCCCAGGTCCCACTAACACAGAAAGGTGGATTTCTTTTTCTTTTGGCTAATGACCTGCTTCCCCTGTTAATCCCCTGTGCCATTTTCTATGGAATTCTAAGTCCTTTGCTTACTTAAGGGAGCAAGCTGATTCTGTCCATGTTCTTTAATTGAAAACCATAGCTTTCTGCCATAGCCCACCTTTGCAGGCAACCACAGTTTAAATCTACACCATCTGCAAATGGACTAACAAGGCCAGCTGCATCTGCTAAAACCTGTGTTTCTTTAGCAGCAAACTGAACAATCAAAGGATGATCACCTTGGTTTGTTGTAAATTGTTTGTTGTTAAATTGTTGTAAATTCACTGTGCCTGGCTTTCAAAGATCTGACAAAATCAGTTGCAATGATCATCGAAGTGTAGCATAAATCACAGTTGTATTTCCTGACTAAAGTTCTGAAAGACAATTTTGAATACCTAACCATAGGAGCACATATTTTCACAATGTGTTTTGAATGAAACAAATCAACTGGATTTTTTAGCGGAGACTGCCCCATTTGTCTGGACTGATTGGACCTATTGAGGTTATCAGGACACATCTTGCTTCTGAACCAAATGGTGGTTAGTTCAAAATCACAGGAGGAACTGCATAGCTGACTGTGGTTTAGTCTTTGGAAGCCTCCAGTTTCAGTCTGACTGTGTGTCCTGCTAATATTTTTTCTTAATTTCTGCTAAAAATTGAACCTCGTCCTTGAAACTGTCATTCTTGACTCCTTTGCAACTCTATGCTGAAAGTGCTCCATGAGACATTGGGCAGAACTTAATTTTAGGCCGGGAGTAGCGTGCCATGTTCTTTAACTAATTAGCTAATCTAGCAATTGCTCAAGGTTAATCAATCATACCCTTTAGTCCTTATCGCACTAACACAAGTTCTCTTCCATCCTCCCACATTCCTTGCTACAGACTGTTAAGAGACGGTATTTTATGAATTCACTGGCTAGAATAGAAGCACTTCATAAAAGGATTTGTATATGTATTGAAAACAGTCATCTGCACAAAGCCATTCCAAGTATCTCAGCTGTCACATGGAAGTTAAATCCTCAGGATCAGCACATTGTGAATGAATATACCACCCCATGTAGCTTTTTTGTGTTACTTTTGGAAATCTGCAAAAGACCAAGTAGGCATGCACATCTGGGATAAACAAAATGAAACAACAATGACATTGTGGTCTTAAGGGTTTTTAAAAACATAGATAATACCAGTCTTGCTGTGTTCAGAAATCAGAGCCAAAATCACCAACACACACTTGGAAAGACAACCATATTCGGATGAGGAATAGAAGCTTCAAGAGTGGCCGAAGTTGCTTCCATGGTGTATTGCAAAGAGCATAACAGCCATTCTAGGCTATAATATATCTTCTGATAGTTCAGGTGCCTTGACCGTCCAATGAAACCAGGAAATAAAATAACTGCAAGATAAACAGTCCACACCTTACAGTCAAAATGTTGCAAAGGCCATTCAAGATGAGATCAAAGTGGTATAGCAGATGGAGACTCACTTGGACCAGGTGAAATGGTATTAAAACGTAGCTACTATCGCTTTAATGAGAGCCAGTTTGGTGTTGTGGTTAAGGCATCAGGCTAGAAACCAGGAGACCGTGAGTTCTAGTCCGGCCTAAGGCACCAAGCCAGCTGGGCGACCTTGGGTCAGTCTCTCTCCCTCAGCCCTGGGAAGGAAGAAATGGCAAACCACTTCTGCAAAACCTCACCAAGAAAACTGCAGGGACTTTCCAGGCAGTCACCAGGAGTCAAGACTGACCCAAAGACACCCAGAACATCCCCCCCCCACACACACACACCTATCAGCTTTGCCCACCACACAGAATGTTGCCAGGCTAAAACAGAATAGGCAGAATTCTTCCCGTTTGCCTCTTCTGGCTTCTTGACAGAATGGTGAAACACCAAAGGGCTACATGTGCATATTGACACCGTGACTTCCAATACGTCCCTAAAGAAAACCAGGAACGAGAAACCTGGGTGACAAAACGATTGCAAAGTTTCCGAGCTATTTTGTTTGTTAATATGTATTTTGCCCCTTGTGTTTTTCTATTCCTGGAAAGTCACAGGCACGCGTATCTGCCCCTCTGGGTCTGCAGGTATACCGGCGCCTCGGACTCTGCTGCTTTACCTGCTTGAGCCGGAGGCTCGGGGAGGTTCCTGCACGGGGCACCCTCTTCCCTCTCGCTCTGGTTCTTCGGGCTGAGGTCCTCCTTGTTCTGCCCAGGTGACATGGCTGGAGCCTGAGAAAGCCCAGGGGCGCTCCGAGGCTGAATGCCTTTACAGGAGGGCCGCCTTACCCTGGCGCTCCCGACGGGCGTTGCGTCCCGTCGCCCTGCTCATGGCAGCGGGATGAAATCTGAAAGTTCCTAAGAGATCCGCGAGCAACTTTTCTTTCTGTTACCGCAGGCTTTGCCCTTTTCGGTGACCCGGCCTGTTGCTATTCTGGCAGAGCCTATCAGCAGCGCGAAAGGGAGGGATTTCTTTCAGACGCATTGTTTTCACTTTAAACAAATAGCTGAGAACTGGGGAACGGGAACGCGGAGCTCAGCCGGCGCTCTGGAGCTGTTAGCATTAAGCCGTTTCTCCACAATGACTGTTTTACCCTCGCTCCCATTTTTTTCCCCCTCGTGTATGCGTGTGTGTGTGTTAAGAGCTGAAGTACTTGCTAGGCCTACACAAACAAGCGAACAAACCACGTACGCACGCACAGGGCACCGTCTGATATCCATTTTGTTGCCATTATGAGCAATTAAAGAAATGAAGGGAAAGAGTCACTTAAGGCAAATCAAATGGCTGACGGTCTGGCTCTTTTTTCCTTTTTCAATAAACAGTGCCATGCTTGCAAGAAAGAGAAAGCAGAGCTCCCAATATCTGAGAAGAAAATGGGGATGCTTATAACCAGTTCAAAAATGGATTATTTCTGTAAAAGTTTAAATCCGTTACAAATATGTTTTGCAGAGGCAAAAGTAGGATGTGGGTGTATATATACTATGGTTCTAGATTCTGCTGTCCTGCAAGTACATGGGAAGATAATGTTGTTTACAATATCTCAGGATTGATATAAGTAGTATTACTTCCTGAATAACCCACAATTGTTTGGGTTCACACATAACCACAAAGCTATAAGCCAGGGATTACAAACCCCAGTAGTTGGTTATATTTCATAAAGCAAAAGCAGACTCCCTCAGTGAGGTGTGCCAGCCAGCCAGTAACATTGAAGTACTAAGTTTCCAGGGAGGTAAACAGTCATATGGACAACAATTACAAGAATATAAAAACCAATATAGAAAAGGGAACTCATCCCTCAAAATATCCCCCCCTCCCCCCGCTGTCCCCATGCACTCAGTCATAATGAAATGATGGTCATGGGGAACTAGATTTCTAATAGCCACCCAAACAGATTTCAGATGAGGAAATCTGAGCAAATCAAGCTTACATATTGCAAGTGTTGAATGTGGGTCTTGGTGTAGCTTTACCACCCATTCTAAATTTGGATCCATGCATGCTGCCAGCTTTGAATATACAGGAGCAACTGGAAATCACAATGCAGGGATGTCTGTAAAGATGGTCAAAAAAGGTCAAGATGATGGCCATGATTGTGTGATTGAAGCCCTGTAGCTTTTCACACACGTCACATGCACAGTGCATATAAAAAGGGGTGGGGATTTGATCACACCATCCCAGTGGCTATCTTGACATTTTGACACACACATGCTCCTCCAGTGCTCCTGTCAGGATGTATTACATTTTGTTTTCAGTTGCAATTAAGCATAGGAGACTATGATTGCAGATCCATTCAGTGTCATCTGTAGAGGATTTATAGGAGCAATCTACTGGTGAAATTAAGCAGCGAATGACGGAAGTACTGAAATCAACAGACAAGTGAGGAACATCAAAATGAACAAGAAGCAGTTGCTTAAGAGGAATTTAATTCTACTTCCCATGTGATCTCATTTCCTATTATTTTTCAAAGAGCGATTCAAAGGAAAGGTTCACCTATAACATATATCCTCAGCAAATATTTTCCGCATCTCTCCGGATGAAATACTTTCCTCAACCCAATGGGTTGTTAATACTTTTTTCTTAAAATCAATAAGCATACTCAGATGCAATTCAATTCTTTTCCTTCCTCCCCTACTTTCTGTATTGCACAGAAAAAGAGAAAATGAAAGTCACTACTGAAGGCCTCATGTTGCACTGTAAGAACAATGGAGACATTATTATTGTTCCTTTGTCATCAAAACTTTAAGGTAAGAAGGAACTAGAAAGTGCTCCAGCTTCAACAAATAAATAGAAATAAAGAGAGCACACACAAGCAACTTTGAATTGTTCAACTGAGAAATTCTTAAAACAGAATATGTCATTAAACCCCAAACATTCACTGGGTACTTGCAGTCAACCAACTGGCAGGTGGGGGGAGATTCAGAAGTGTACTTAGCCATATTCAGGACAAAGAAGCATATACCTCAATGAGCAATATACAGTATTTCCAATGAGAAGACAGACTCTTGCTAACAAACCCTGATATATTTCATACTGTACTCCCCAAACTAGGGTGTATGGGGTGTCCAGGGAGGGGTAGCACCTCTGGTGGAGGGGCCTACTGTGCCCTTTCTAGGGCTGCTCATTCACCTTTGGTCCCCACCTGGCACTCACCTCTTACCTATGGCTCCAAGTAGCTGCAACATGCACAGTGCCCACACCCCAGTAAACCTTCTCAGCAGACAGGCCAAGGCAAGTGAGGGTAGCCAAGGGGTCTTCGACTCTCAGTGAAATAGGGGATTTATTTATCCCAGCTTGTGAAGTCTGGCCCTGGCAGACTGAGCAGAGGAGACTTATCAACGGTCCAATGGTCAAGAAGACCCAGAAGGCCTTGGGGAGCACTAAGAACACGTCAAGACACTTAGACGTCTGGTCATCCACTGCAGCAGAAGAGGTCTCCACCCGTAACGATTCTCCATGCCACTGAATTAAGGTCTCTTATGCCGAGAGAGTGGGACTGCCCCTGTGCGATGGCTGTTCCACTTAAAGCTCCATCACACAGGTTTCTGTTGTGCAATTCACCTTCATCTACAACTCATCTGCAAATCATCTCAATCCAAACTTAATTTGTTGAGCCCTGCGGCAATGGGGGAGTGGTGAATCAACAGGTGGAGATGACCACTGGCAGTTATAGTCACAAACCTGCACATGAGCAGCTCTTGGTCCAGTGGTCATTCATCTCAGTACCTGGGGAAGCGGAGATGTCCAGCACCATCCAGGGTGACTGGGCAGCCCTTCTAGAATAGCACTGCCCAGCCTTGCATGAGAGAAGAGTTTAGAAAAGGTACCCTAAACATTGCCTGCCCCACAGCATCTGGTTAGCTAACCATGGCTGGGAGATCATCTCTTTAGTTGTCAAATATCAAGAAAAACGAATAAAAGAAAACTCATTTTCAGAGCCTGGAACATTCACACCTTGCTGGATAGAGACAAGGTGTCAAGGCTTGAAAGACAAACAGCACTCATAACTGCCAAATTTCGCTATTATAGCATTGACATTGCTGTGGTCAATGAGACTAGGCTAGCAGATGAGGGTTCATTACAGGAAGCAGTTAGTGGATATACATTATTTTGGAAAGGGAAACTGCATACTGACAACAGGACTCACAGAGTAGATTTTGTAATCAAAACAGCTGTGATGAAGAACATCTCTACTCTACCCACTGGAATAAATGAATGCATTATGAAGTTCCACTTTCCTCTCAGCAAGTCCTGGTATATCACCATAATCAGCACCTACACACCAACTCTTATGAATCCAGATGAAGAAAAGGAAGGTTTCTACGAGGACCTAGACCAGATCATTTGAACAACCTCCATCAGCAACAAATTCATTCAGGGCAACTTCAATGCTGGGTAGGGACAGACAGCGACAACTGGGACAGAGTCCTTGGGAGACATGGGGTGGGAAAAGTAAATAGCAGTGGCCTGCTGCTTCTGAGCAAATGTGCTGAGCACAACCTGTGCATCACTAACATGATGTTCAGACTTGCAAACAAGTACAAAACTACCTGGATGGATCCCAGATCCAAACACTGGCACCTACTTGATTATGTCATAGTACATCATCACAACCTTAAAGACGTCACTATCACTCAAACCATGGGAGATGCTGAGTGCTGGACAGATCACAGGCTGGTCCAGTCAATCCTCAACCTGCACATAGCTCCTATACATTGTAAGCAACCAAGGACTATCAGAAAGTCATTCAACATTGGCAGACTGCAAGACCCAGGCCAAGTTCACCGTTTCCAAGGTATACTTAATGAAAAGCTCTCTGTCAATTTACCGCTTGTGGGAACATGTTCTAAAAAGTGGACGCAGTTTAAAGATGTCATCACGCAGACTGCAACAACTGTATTCAGACTGAAAACCCAGGTTTGATGAAAACCACAAGATCATTTCATCAGCTCTCCAGGCCAAGAACAAGGCCTATGCAAACTGGCAGAATGATCCATCATCTGTTTCAAAGAAAGACAAGTTTAAGCAGTTGCAGTCCAAAGTACAGATGGAACTGCAAGAAATAAAGAATGAGAATGAGTGGTGGCAGAGAAAGGATGAGCAGGTGGAACGCTATGCAGACATGCACACTACCAGAGAGTTCTTCAGCACCATTAAGTTAGTTTATGGTTCTTCTAAATCAGGATGCTCCCCTGTGCTGTCATCTGATGGGTCAAGCCTGATCAAAGACCAGGAAGGACTGAAAAACCACTGGGCTGAACACTTTTCCAACCTACTCAATAGGCCGTCCACAGTTGATCCTGATGTCTTGCAGCAGATTCCTCAGCTGCCAGTCTTGGATCTCCCCTGTGCTGTCATCTGATGGGTCAAGCCTGATCAAAGACCAGGAAGGACTGAAAAACCACTGGGCTGAACACTTTTCCAACCTACTCAATAGGCCGTCCACAGTTGATCCTGATGTCTTGCAGCAGATTCCTCAGCTGCCAGTCTTGGATGCCCTAGACCTGCCTCCCTCTACTAATGAGATCAAGAAAGCAATCTCGCAGATGAACTCAAATAAAGCAACAGGACAGGATGGCATTCCTGCTGAGATTTACAAAGCACTAGACCCAAATGCCTTACAGGTGTTCCAAGACATCTTGGAAGACATTTGGTCCACAGAGGAGATGCCTGACGACTTCCACGATGCCCTCATTGTGGCTCTCTACAAAAATAAGGGAAGCAAATCAGACTGAGGAAACTACAGGGGTATCTCGCTCCATTGCAGGCAAGACCTTTGCCCTCATTCTCCTGAACAGATGTGTCACTATCTTGGAAAGGAGCCCCCCAGAGGTGCAGTGTGGCTTTCGGCCAGAACAGAGTACAGCAGACATGATATTTGCCATGAGCCAAGTC